GGGTGGGGTGCGTGGGTGCAGTAGCTGATTGTTGTGAAATAGAAAAGAGTAGAAGCTGAAACTGAAGGCTGAGGTTTTGACTGCAGTGACTGTGATGACGCTCAGAGGAATGTAAACTGAACAGAAGAGCAAAACAAATGACAGGAGAGATAAACACACACTGGACGGTTCTGGAACTGGAACTGGAACTGTTCCTGCAGGCCGCTCCGACACCACCCAAACAGAAGTGTTTCCTGTGCAGCCTGTTTCAGAAGCTGACCAGACCAGTGTCATACAAACACAATCCTGCAGGGGGCGAACATACCATATATCATAGGTGTCAAACTCAGGCCCGCGGGCCTTAGGTTTGACACGTGTGCTGTGAGGGTTTTTACAGGTAGATTTGAACTCCTTCAGTTCATAGAGGTCACGTTAAGGTTAGAATGTCTTTGACCCCGGGGGTCACGGTGGACGAGTCCAGAGACCGTGGGAGGAAGACTCTGGTTCTGGACTATGAAAAACCTGGACTCATCAGAACCAGCCCCGGGTGGACACTGACGTTCACTGGTCGACCTGCTCTGTGTCCAACCGGGACAAGGTCGGCTCCGACTCCGGTGTCTTCTTGAATACACATCTTCTCGGCCAGGACTTCTGGGACTTCTGGGACTATCGTGTGTCTTGTCGGTGGAACGTCCGCCAACATTTTTACCACATGTCTAATAAAGTTAGAAATTCACTGAGTGATAAAAACAGACGGAGGGAAGAAGGAATTCAGGGAATTTTAAAGAGCGTTCCTTTTTGGCTCGCTCCTGCGATGTATATTTAGCTCCTTCGCGTTCTTCCACTGAACGATGTTGCAGTTGTTTATGAGACTGATCTGGTCTGTCATCATGTCACGTACTGTACCTTTAAAACCTCAGGTTGACATGGTGCCCACTGCAGGTCTCACCACTGATCTTTAGGGGTCACTAATGTTGTTCGGTGACAGATCAAAGACTACGTTCCTGTTCATTTTGTCGTTTGTCCTTTTTTAGAAAATGGTTCTGAACCAACGAGGAGCAGCTGATGAACACGGCGACAGGAAGCAGTCGGCAGCGGGAACCGCAGATGAAAATGGAATTCAAGACAACCATCACAGTGCGGAGCAAGTCATCACTCTGAAGGAGACGCTGAGTCAGCGGGACAATGAAATCAGTATCCTTAGAAACAAAAACAAACAAAAACAAACAAACCCTGGTAGAAACAGGTGAGTTTACGATGGGTCGCGTCCCGGTCCAGAGGTCGTTGTTGGGTCGACCAGCTGCTCCACTCTTCAGGTTGACGGTGGTTTTTTTTGTCCACATGCCTACACCGTACCGTGATCACGCACCAGATTTGACCAATCCGATAAGACCATGGCGTGACGCGCGATGTGTCGTGGATCTAATCACCATCAAGTCCGATGTGTGTGATTGTACGATGATCATTTACTGAGATCACGACATCCGTCATCAGCGTACGTCTTCCATCTGCGCCGTCATAGTCACGGAAACCGCTCTGAGTGAAATCTGAAGAAGCATTTCTATTGGCTGATCAGTAGATGTAGGTCGTAGGTCGTAGCAACTGTGACACAGTGACGGCTAGAATTTTATCGTGAGTTCTCGCTAGTCGTACGTCGACCAGTCATCGATTAGGCGACCAAAGATACTGTATCTCCACGTTTCTCCTACGATGGTCCTCTTTCGTCTGGAACAGCCTGTGTACCGGCCGTTAAACGCAGTATTTTCTCAGAGAACTACAGTACTGTCTCCTTCTGTTACTCTGATCTGATGTTTCAGTGAAGGACTTCTGATTGTCCTTCCTCACAGCAGTTTTCCATACATTCAGGGAAAGTCCCCTCCGCTGCCCCCCCCCCGTTCCAAACATGGTGTTTTCATTTCCCCGTCCAGATAGATCACCCGATGACTGCAGTGATTATTATTAATCATGATGATGGTGTTTGTGCTGCAGGATTGTGTTCCAGATCACAGAGCGTTAGCAGGAACACGGAGACGTCTGCTCCGTGGTGGAGCCACTGAAACCTCAGCTCCACACACTGCTTTTCACATGCTGGAAATATGATCACCATGATTGTTCTGGTGGATGTCTGAAGGCACATGGTACTGTGTTGGCAACTACTGCAAGTACTACTGCAGTATTTCCTAACTATGTATGTTTTAGATGAAGAGAAACGTTTGGTTCAGAGTTTTCTTCCGATTTTTCGTTCCACATTTGCCTTACCCTGGTAGGTCAGTATTTAGACTCTAGTGCATTGTTTCCCAAACACTGGGTCGCGACCCTTTAGATGTCAGTTTCTTCTCCTTTGTCGTCGCGTGAATGTCTCCTTCACAACGATGTCAGTTCATCGTCCCAGATGACGACGCTCCCATTTGAACAGAAAATGATCTGCTGACCACGGCAGTTTCACGTTGGCCGCAGCGAGAAGTCTGTGAACGTCATGACGGACGGAGTCTGAAGAAGAGACTGATGTGTTTACGCTAAATTATGGGTTGGGATTAAAATGGTCTCGTGTTTGTAATGTAAAAACCGAACGATTACGTCCAAGAGGGAAATAAAGTGTGTGTGTGTGGAATACGTCCATTTGGACACATGTCTGACTGACCTTTGACCCCTCCAAACGATCTTGTCTTGGTCGCGTTTTTTTCCTTCACGTTTATTCAGCTTTCAGCAGTTTATCGTTGGTTAGCGGTTTGGTGCTAGCTGTGTCACGTGATGCTAATGAAGCAGCTGGGTTCAAGTTTGGGTCGTCGCTCGTCCACGGTCCCTCACTGTCAGACATCAACATGTGGTGGAGTCATCGCTGCAGTTGGAGCTCGGTCCCTTCTCCACGTCTCCATCTTTAACCACCGTCTTTAGCCCGGCGTAATCTTTGACTCTCGAACAGTGAAATGAACGAGTCTTGAACAAATCATTTCATTCATTTTACAGCAGACAAATGAAACGAAGAAACGCCAGAGCGAATCTTTCAAACATATGTTTCCCACAACTGAAAGGAACGTTTTTAGCCCATACCGCCACCTGCTGTACTAGAGTGTGTAGTAACGATGCCTACTTCTCACAGCTTGAAGTACGATTTGTTTTTTATTTCAACCTTTATCCAGTTATCCCAGCGTCATCTTGTCGTCGCTCTAATGACGTTGATTCAATTGAGAAATTGTTTCAGTTTTCGCTGATGCAGCTGGAACTTAAAATGTGTTTGTGGAGAAATAGACAGAAATAGTAACTTTTTTTGTGGTCGTCTCGCATCATGTTTCCCAGGAGTTTAGGAATAATGTGTGTTGACTCGGGTCGCGCAGGTTTGAGACTTTTAAAATATGGGTCACCAGAAAAGAGAACATAGAGGAAATAGAATCTTTCACCTTCACGTTTCTTTAATCCCAGATGAAAACTCTCTCTCGTCCAGATGCAAAGATCAGGCCTTAACTCAGAGCTTCAGGTGTCTTAGTGAAGATGCTGAAGAAGGAGAAGAAGAAGGTCCAGGACGCTGCTGCCCGGCTGGTTGACCTCACTGGCCAAAGGTCAACCGTCCAGGTTGACCCTCCAACAGCCTCTACAGAACCACCGACGGACGACGCAACCGATGTGGTCTCCACCACCAACGGAGGACGAGCCGTTCAGTACATGAAACGAGGTACTCACAGTACTGCAAGTGATGTTGACCAGTACCACAGTATTTAAAGATATTGCAGTTTTTACGCCTTACCTTCCACGCCTTCTCCCTCCGCCAGTTCTACTCTTTCCTCACCTCACCTTCAAATGGTGGCTTGTGGGCCACATATGTGGCCCAGAGGCAGCCTCAGTGTGGCCCAGACTCTGGTCTACTCTGGACTACTGGCCACATGGTGGTCAGTAGTCCAGACCATGAATGCAACACTGTGGTAATAGACGCCTCTTTGACCCTTTGTCAGAGTAGAAACGTACAAATGAAGATGAAAACCGTAGGTTTAACACCGTTAAATTTGTAGTGAGTTGCAGTCCTGACAGATCACAGCAGGGGGGGTCAAACTCAATTTCACCAGTTCCCCTTGAATGGCCGGTTGTAACTGGAAGACTGTACAGATCAGGGGTTCTCAACCCCTGGTCCGCGGACCAGTACCAGTCCGTAGG